GGTTCGCTATGAATCAGGTCTGACTTGATGGCACATAACAACAACAACAAATATATATATATATATATGACAGACATGGACATGTAACTTTGAAAATAGAATTATTTGAAGGAGCAATGAATCAGCTATTTTTGTTATTTGCTGTACAGTAAGCTCCAATTCTGGTGACCTTCTGTTGTACATAACAACAGAAGGAAACTCCCAGGTCTTGCACCATCCATCCTCACAAGCCTTGCTATGTTTGAGACCATTTTATACATGTGTCAAACTGTCTCCTTAAAGGTCTCCCTCTTAATGAGGAAGTTATTGTAATAATAAAATAAAAATTACTCTTCTTGGACCCAAACCTCAGGAAGCCAGTAGGAGCTGTAGGCCTGGTCCACCAGTGAATGGCCCTGCACTGCCTTTCCCCCACTGTGTTCACTCTTACCTAAGCACTGTTGTTGTAATGTGCCATCGAGTCGGGCCCGACTCATAGCGACCCCTCCTTGGGTTTCCTGGGCCATATCACTATGGAAGTAGATTGCCCAACCTTTCTTCCAAGGAGTGGCTGGTGGGTTTGAACTGCCAGCCTTCTGGTTAGCAGTCAAGCACCTTAGACACTAGGCTAAGCAATAGATGGTATTTATTGTTGTGTTTGAGGTTTCATAAAACCATTGTTGTAGTTTCTTTCTAATAATACTCCATTATTGACATTATGAGGACACCATTCTAGAAAAATCACTAAGCAAATGTATTTTATTCTGTTGCAAATCAAAGATCTTTTTCTTCTGCCAAGTAAAAATGTAAAGTATCTGTACAATTCTTAACAAATTCCTAATTACTCTCTTACTTATCTATTACTTAAATTAGGAAATAATTTTATTTATCATCGTCCCTCTTCATATTATATCACATATAAGTATTGTGTATGTTCTTGGGTTAATAATCTTTAATACCAGTAGAAAATCAGTAAGGTGTATTCATTAGTTCAATCATATAATAAATATTTATGAGGTACCTACAATGTACCAGGCACTTTTCATAGCAGCTAGAGATTCAATAACTGATAAAATAGACCAAAAAATAAAAGTCTCAACCCTTGAGGGTTTATATTCAGTTTTGTTGTTGTTAAGCACCTTCAAGTGGACTCATAGCAACCCCATGTACAAAGAACTGTCCCATAGGGTATTCTAGACTGTAATCTTTCCAGGAACAGATTACCAGGTTTCTCTCCCACAGAACAGCTGGTGTGTTTGAAATGACAACCTTATAACCATTGCTTCCCCAGGGCTGCTTTATATTCAGCTAGGACAGACAATAAACAAGCTATATAAGTAAGGTATGCAGACAGGGGCTAACAATACAAACAACAGCAGGGTAGAGTGATGACAAGTTGGAGAATGGTGTAAATTTTTTAGTTAAGGTGTCCAGGGAAGGATGTTTTGTGAAGGCATATTTTGAGTTAAAATATGAAGGATGGGGGTACCTCACTGCCATTAACAGAGAAGAGTTGGCATTGAAGTGGAGCACATCCTTGGTCAAGATCCCTACATTGGACCTCCTTCACTGAGAGATGGCTAGATACATGGCTGAGAGAGATGTCTGGCTGAGAGACAGTGGCAGTGCAACCAAGAGGCAGGAGACAAGGTGGAGACCTTGAAGCCTACAGAGCAAGAAACTGAGTGCCCTTGGGCAGGAGGCTTGCTGGCTGAGTGCAGTGCACCTAGGTTTATTTGTCCACAAAGCTAAAAGAGTTCTTGTGACACTTGCCCAAGCAGGAAGCAGGGCAGAGGCCAGGTAGAGAGGCCAAGGGCCAGAGAGGCATTCCTGAGGGCATAGCAGATGGGAGACTGTCTCCATTGAAGAACTGTATCCTGAGAGCATTCCAAAACCTGAATTGTCTGTTACTTCCCTAATGGAGCTCTGGTGGCATAGTGCCTAAGGCATTTGACTGCTAACCAGAAGGCTGGTGGTTCAAACCCACCAGCCACTCCTCCCCATAATCATGAAAAAAAAAAAAAAAATGTGAAGGATGTGAGGGAATTAGTCATGCAGATGCCTGCTGGAATGTCTACCAGAAATTGGGTCTGTGAGTTCAAAGCCCTGGCTAAGACAGGAATATGACCAGGGGTTTGTGTTTGTTTTATGTTTATAGAAAAGGAAGGAGACGTAGGGGCAGTAGGAAATGATGCCAGAGACATATGGAGAAGTTGCTATCCTAAATCAAGTGGAGTTGGATGAGAACTGCTGGAGAGTTTGTTGTTGCTGTTTTTAGCTGCAGTGGAGTAAGGACGCCAATTCATAGTGACCCCATTCACAATGGGATAGGAAAGTTGTGATCCATAGGGTTTTCATTCATGATTTTCAGAAGTAGATCACCAGGCCTTTCTTCATAGTATATCTTAGTCTGGAAGCCCCCCCCACCACCACCACTGAAACCTGTTCACATCATAATAACACATAAGCCTCCATTGGCAGATGGATAGTGGCTGAGCTTGATGTGCACTGGCCAAGAATCAAACCCAGGTATCCTGCATGGACAAGAATTCTATAACTGAACCACCACTGCTCCCACCACTGAAGGGTTAAATAAGAGGTATTGGAGGATTCAGGACAGAAGAGAAATAGGATCTGACTAGCACTGCTAAAGAATGACTGTGACTGTTCTGTTGTGGATGGACTGCAACAGGGGGCAAGAGTGACAGCAAGAAGACCTGTTAGAGGCTACCAGAATAATAATTTGTGTTTTGTTCTGTTGTACGTAAGGTTGCTATAAGTCAGAACCGACTTGATGGCACCTAACAGCACAGTAATAATCCAGGTGTGAGTAGGTGGTGTCTTGGATTAGAGTGATGACAGAGATGATGGCAAGAAAAGGTTACATCATGGAAATATTTGGATTGGAACATGGAGCTGATAGGTGAAGTCTGGATATGGAAAGTGCCATCAAAGTGTATATGAAGACTTTGCTTGAGTCACTGAAATTGAGAAGACTGTAGGAGAACCCCAGAGGGGTCGCTATGACTCGGGTCCGACTCAACAGCATATAACAACACAACAACATAACAAAACAGCAAATATACAATACGAATAATGGGATTCTGGGGAATTTACATATCTTATTTTTTTCAAAATTTTCTACAGACTCCATAAATCACTATGGTAATCAGGTGAATAATCATTGAAAGTAATATATAAACTGTTGCAAATGCTATTATGTACACCATTATAAAGTACACCATTATAACGTAACTTGCCTAACTCTTAAATGACTTTTACAATTTAAAGCAATATGTTATTTAAAATTCTTAAGTGAATAATAAAAAAAAAAAAAAAAAACAGAATATGCTTTAGTAGAATAAGCACAAGTGTTTTGCTAGGAAAACATGATTTTGAATCCTCTTTCTGTTTCTTGCTTATTATGCAACCTTTGGGATATTCTACACATACTTTCAAATTCAGTGTTCCCTTCTTTAAATAGGATCTGTGTGCCTTGGCTCTCTAGTGCTGCTATAACAGAAATATCACAAGTGGGTGGCTTTAATAAACAAGAATTTAATATCTTACAGTTTAGGAGTGTAGAAGTCTGAGTTCAAAGTGCCGGTTCCAGGTGCTGGATGAAGGCTTCAGCTCTGCCTCCTGTTACAACCCCACAGGAGCTAGAGGCTTTTTCTGATTCATGCAGCTCCTAGCTAGTGAAGCTGATGAACCCATGATCAACAGATAAAATTGCACAATCCCAGATCAGTAGGCAACATGGTAGACCAAGACTCAGATGAACGTAGAGTCTAGAGGTGCCCAAAACTGGAGGCCATTCTCAAAGCTTCTCCATATATACTGGAAACAGGCTACACCCAAAAGGCAGCTCCCTTTCCACTGATAAACATCCCAGAGCATATTCCCCCATGGAGATGATTATAATCTCATCGTGGGGAAAAACTATATCCAGCTGCCAAGCCACTCAAAACCAAGGCCCAGCCAAGTTGACACCACACAACCTTAACTGCCACACTGTGTATGCATGTTTATGTGTTGTTGTTGTTAGTTGCTCTTGAGTGTTACTTATCTAGCAAAAGCGTTATCTATAAGTTTACAACCATTTTTTAAAACACAGGACATCATATATTCAAACAAATGTTGCTAATTTCAAAGCTGTAAATTTATCTATATGTCACACTCACAGAAACACGCATACACAAACCCATGAACACATACAGAAACACATTCTTAACGGTTATAAATGCTTCTTTTTTTTGGGCAGATTTCTCTGATAATGTTTGATTAATAGGATAGCACAATTCTTTCTAAGATTTTGAAGGAATAATTTATGTAGTAGTCCCTAAATAGATGTAAAGAAAATTTCAAAAAAGAGTTTTCAAATCTTACTTGAGCAATAGCAATATAATTGCATTAAATATGTCACCTGTACAAGTAACTGTTTTCATTCAGAATTATAATATCTGTTATGGCTGTTTTACAAATATGAATTTCAGTATATAATTAGAACTTGGAATATTATACACCAGTTTGAAGGACTTTCTGGTATAGCTCATGGACATGTTTTTAAACTCAATTTTATCCCATTCAGTAATATTATTATGTATATTTAATTAAATTTGTTTTTATACTCACAGAAATAAGATGTTTAAATACCTGAACATAACATTCAACTAGGATAAATGAAAATAAGTTTCTAGTAGTTAAAGAAGCAGGTGTTAAGTAAAACTGCCATCATAAGTCAGATGCTACAAAACATGTTCCTTCGAGCTAATGCATTCCATCAGAACATTCAGAGAATGTAAACAATTTTTTAAGTGAATGCTCCTTATGCAATAAGTGGAAATATTTCCATGCTTAGAAATGCAGGTATGACATATTGAGCATCTTTTCTCCAAATCCATGCAAAAAACACTCATTAGCACTTGCCATTTATAACATAATTTGGGGATTCAAGTTAGTCTCCATTATTAAAGGTATTAAATTCAACATAAATAATTTTCAAAACATAGCAACTTTACCTGCTGTGGTTGGCTCTTCATCCGATGCTATGCAGAAAAGTGGGGGCAGGGAGAGAGTGGGATTGGAAAGGAGAGAGAAAGAGAGAGATTGAAATTGAGATTGACCATGCAATGTAAAAATATTCCACATTTCCAAAAATGACTATTAATCCCTGATTTGTAATTTTATATACAGGCTTACTTCACTTTTATTGCACTTTACTCTTTTGCACTTTACAGATACTACATTTTTTTACAAATTGAAAGTTTGTGGCAACCCTGCATTAGTAAAGTCTATTGTCTCCATTTTCCAACAGTATGTGCACACTTTGTGTCTGTGTCATATTTTGGTAATTCTCACAATAGTTTAAACTTTTTCATAATGCTATTGCATACTTCATAGACTGTACTATATAGTTATGTGTAAACATATCATTTATATGCACTGGAAAACCAAAATATTATTGTTCCCTGCTTTACTGTGATATTCATTTTCTGGTGTGCTGGTCTGGAACCAAACCCATAATATCTCCCCAAGATATGCCTGTATACATCACATATTTGACATTATATAATATTATGGGTGTTTAATTAAATTTTCTACATTGTTATGATTTATAATATGCATGTATTAGCAGAGACATTATTTTTAGTATTTTATTTTCCTTTCCATTTGCCAACAAAATTGACTTAACTAATTTCTATGTAAATGATCTTAAGTTATTATATATGTTGTTGTTGTTGTTGTTATGTGCCGTCGGTCGGACCCGACTCATAGCGACCCCTTCTTGGGTTTCTGAGGCAGTATCACTACGGAAGTAGATTGCCCCATCTTCAGTCCAAGGAGTGGCTGGAGGGTTTGAACCACCGGCCTTCTGGTAAGCAGTCAAGTGCCTTAGGCACTATGCTACCAGAGCTCCCATTATATATGTTGTTGTTGTTGTTGTTTGCCATCGAGTCAGCCCCGACTCATAGCGACCCCTCCTTGGGTTTCCGAGGCAGTATCACTATGGAAGTAGGATTGCCCAACCTTCCTTCCAAGGAGTGGCTGGTGGGCAACAACAACAACCCATTATATATAATATGGTTTAAAAATATAAATTATAAATAATATATAGATGTGCACCACTTTACAGAAATTTTATATAAAGAATAAAGAGTTAAAAGGCATTCTCTCCATGAAGGAAAAATGAAAACTCTAGAGACAGTGAAAAGATCAGTGATTGCTAGGTGCTCAAGAGGAAGGGAAAAAGAGTGAAAAGATGGAGCATGGGGCATTTTAGGGACAGTTAAACTATTCTGGATGATACTAAATGGTGTGCATGTGACATTATGCATTTTTCAAATACACAGGTTTGTACAACACAAAGAATGAGCCCTAATGTAAACTGTGGGTTTTAGTTAAAAACCTGGGTGTGTTAGATGCCCTTGAGTCAGGTTTGACTCACAGTGACCCTGTGTACAATAGAACGAACCATGCCTGGTGCTGCATCATCCCCATAATCATTGCATGCTAGATCTGAGGGCTTCCACTTTTCCACTGACCCCTTTACTTTACCAAGCATGACATCCTTCTCCAGGGACTGGTCCCTATTGATAAAATAAGCAAAGTATGAGAGATGAAGTCATTCTTGCTTCTAAGGAGCATTTGATCTGCACTTCTTCTGAGACAGACTTTTTCTTTCTTCTGGCAGTCCATGGTATATTCAATATTCTTCATCAACACAATGATTCAAATGCATTAATTATTCTATGGTTTTCCCTATTCGTTGTCTAGCTCTCACATGCACACAAGGCTATTGAAAAGACAATGGCATAGGTCAGCTGCACATTGTCTTCAAAGTGACATCTTTGTTCTTTAACACTTTAAAGGAGTCTTTTGCAGCAAATTTGCCCAATGCAATATATCATTTGATTTCTTGACTGCCACTTCCCTGAGCATTGATTGTGAATACAAGGAAAATAAAATCTTTGACAGTGTCAGTCATTTATCCATTTATCATGATGGGGCTTATTTGTCTGGTTTTGAGTATTTTTGTTTGTATATTGAGATGTAGCCCATATTGAAGACTGTAATCTTTGATCATCAGCATTATTTCAAGTCATCTTCACTTTCAGCCAGCAAGATCATGTCATCTGCATATTACAGGTTGTTAGTAAGTCTTTCTCCAATAATGATGCCGTGTTCTTCTTCATACTACACAAATGCTTGGATTATTTGGTTGGCACACATATTGAATAAGTATGGTGATAGGATATAAGCCCGATGCTCACCTTTCCTGATTTTGAAACATGAAGTATACTCTTATTCTGTTCAAATGAGTGCTTCTTGATCTTTGTCCACGTTCCTCATGAGGACAATTAAGTGTCTTGGAATTCCTATTCTTCACAATGTTATCCATAATTTGTTATGATTCACAGAGTCAAATGCATTTCCATAGTCAATAAAATACAAGTAAACAACTTTCTGGTATATTTTGCTCTCAGCCAGGATCCATCTGACATCAGCAATGATATTCCTCTTTCCATGTCCTTTTCTGAATTGGGCTTGAAATTTTGGCTGTTCCCTGTAGATGTACTGTTGCAATCATTTTTGAATGACTTTTCGCAAAGTTTTGCTTGCATGTAATATTAATGATATGGTGTGATAATTTCTGCATTCTATTGGATCATCTTTATTTGGAACATGTACAATTATTTATCTCTTCCAGTTAGCTAACTAGCTGTCATCCAAATTTTTTGGCATAAACAAGTGAGTGCCTACAGTGCTGCATCCATTTGTTTAAATATCTCTATGGCTAATCCATCAATTCATGGAGCATTGTTTTTCACCAATTCTTCAGTTCAGGCTGGACTTCTTCATCCAAAACCATGAGTTCTTGATCATAAGCTATCTCCTGAAATGGCTGAACATCGACCAGTTCTTTTTGTTCTACTAACTCTGTTTATGCTTCCTGCCTTGTTCAATATTTTGCCCATAGAATTGTTCAATATTGCAACATGAGGCTTGAATTTTTTTCTTCATTTCTTTCTCCTTGAGAAATTCTGAGCATGTTCTTACCTTAATAATAGTGTATCAATATTGATTATGAATTGTAACAAATATACCGTAGGAATGCCAGATGTTAAAATAGGAAAAAAAAGTGCCCACAGAAGAGGGAGCATATAGAAACTCTCTGTAGTTTCTGCAAAATTATTCTGTAAACCTAAAACTGCTCTAAAAATCAAGCCTATTAAAAAAGTAAAAACTAAACAAAACATATTCTCTGTGGTCAAATTTGTATGTGTGTGTGTGTGTGTGTGTGTGTAAAAACCAGATTTGTTGCCACTGAGTCAATTCTGAGTTATGGATAACCTGTGTGTTACAGCATAGAACTTCTCCACAGGGTTTTCTTAGCTGTCATATTTATAGAAGCCAATTTCCAGGTCTTTCTTTCATTGTACTGCTCAGTAAGTTGGAACCCCCAACATTTAAGGTAAATGGTGAATATAAAGTTCTAGTGCCACCCAGGAACCTATAGATAAGATTGTAGTGTGTTCTCTTTGTCTCTGTCTTTCCCTCCCTTCCTCCATACTCACTTACTCATATGTACCAATGACATCCTCAAGATTCAGTAATTTTGTAATGAGGATGCAGGAAACTGAGGTTTAGAGAATGGCTCCAGGTGGTTTGACACAAGTTTTCTGAAGTTCACACATGGATAGTCAGGATATTATAAAAGGGAATACCACATATGAAAACACAATTTTGTATAAACTGGTGGTTCATAACCCTAGATACATATTAGAATAGCAACCTATGAGACCCAACTCAATCCAATTAAATCAAAATATTTTTAAATGGTACTTCTTGGGAGCTCTGGTAGCATAGTGGCTAAGGCACTTGACTGCTAACCAGAAGGCTGGCGGTTCAAACCCACCAGCCACTCCTCGGAAGGAAGATGGGGCAAACTACTTCCATAATGATACTGCCTCAGAAACTCAAGGAGAGGTGGCTATGAGTCAGGTCCGACTCCATGGCACATAACAACAACAACAATAACAATATAATCAGGATTGGGAAATTACTAACTAATGTCAATATAAGATAACATTAAATGTAAGTCATTAAAGTATGAGTCATTTTGACTTCTGTTGAGATCAGCAAGACTCTGGGGGCGATAATCTACAGCTGTGTGCTTGTTATGTGAGTGAGGGAGGATGGCAGTTACAAGAGGGAACAGAAGAGTTTATGTGAAGGAGCTTCACAATTTTGCCTAGAATCCTTCTATTTACCTTTTTATACAGAGACATGCACTGTGTAAGGAGGTATTTTTGCTCTGTGCACAAGTGTACCTTATCCACAATATTACTGTTGAATTATATGACACAAGCTGGTACTATTTCACTTGATTCATGAAGTTTTAAAATAAAAATTTACACAGCTGAATTGCTTATAAAGGAGCTTTGTTCCCAGCTGATTCGTTAATCAAGGTATCACTGTGTAACCAGGGAGCGGTCTCCACTCTTTGCCGTTAAGGTTACATCTGCACAAAGTACACATTAGACAAGCTTACTTTGTGTCCTGACAGTATTTTCCTCTCACACTATTTGGCTTGTCTCCTTGGCACATAAAGAAATAAAAAGAGCAAACAAACAGTTGGAATGCATGGCATGGAGAACATAAATATTTAAAAAAGCAGTTTGCTGCTTTATCATGTCCAAAATATATCATAAAATGTTCAAAGACAAAAACTGTTGTTAGCTTTCAGGAGTTCCTTCTTAGAAAAACACCTTAGGGGCTTACAGAAGTGCTGGTTTGGATGGGTGGATGTTAGTAAAATTATAGAGTATGAAAATGAGGGGAAAAAAGTTATGGTTTTGGATATCACTTTGTGTGTGTGAGCTCATTTAATTCACAAGACAGATTACGAGACAGAAATTATTATTTGATAGATAAGGATGCAGAGCTTCATAGTGACTGAGCAATTTGTCTAAAACCCATTTGAATTTGAGCTCATGTGTTTGTGACATTAAAAAACAAAATCTATCCTCCATGACTGATTGTC